GGCTGGGGGGCCGGGGCAGGCAGGGAGCCTGGGCGGCAGGGGTGCGTAGGCAGGGCTGCAGCTGGGGGGCGAGGGCTGGCCGTTGGACCAACAATGGCATCTCAAGTGCAGGAGAAACTTCCTCTCTGATGCGCCTTCTCAGCCCCCACCATCCAGCTCACAGAGGAGCCCGGGTAACGAGCCCCAGAATGGGTTTATCCTGCCAGGGCCCCCGACCAGGGCTGCCCTCTGAGCCCATCACAGCATCAAAGTCTTGTATTTGTTCTTAAGGAAGGCGCGTGCTGGATAGTCAGAAACACCCTCTTTTCTGCTAAGGAAAGACGGAGGTTTGAGATGAGTTGATGTCGCAAATCTGGAGGGGCCGATGGTGGAAAGAGCAGGACCTGAACCTCTTCCGCAGAGCAAGACAAACGCAATTTGGAATCACAACACGTGTTTCTTTTACGAACCCGAGGGCTGAGCTCCCGACCCCACCCCCACCAGCGTGCGGGGCGTCCTGACCCCGCGCCCACCGGGCTAGGCGGGCCGCAGCTTCATCTCCGACACCCTGTAGCTGTAGTTGTACCCTCTTCCCGACTTCCAGTTGATGCCCTTTGCGAAGCTGTCATGGGCCCCGCCGAGGTAGCGACCATTCAGGTTTGACACGTGGCACGTTTTGTACCACCAGGCTCCCTGGTACATCACGGCACAGCTTTGGGCGTGAAGGTCATTGTCCTGGTCTTTAGTGGAGAAGGACTGGTTGTTGTGGGACGTCAGGGAATCACCTGCTCAGGAGGAAATGTGAGCGTCATTACAGGCAGTAATGTCATAGGCAGAACAAGTCTTTCCACCTGAGGCCTGGCCTGGTGGTCCTCCATGTACGGTTATGTAGGTTGTTCACTGCACAATCCAAGGAGTACAGTCCATGACTTCAGTGAAGACTGCCCTGCTGTTGGCAGTGGCCTTAGAAAATTGCCTTTAGGTCTAGCCCTGCCACCTAATGTGTAGTGTGTTTATTTCATAGAAGGACAGGAGGTAGGATCATCATTCCCTACTCTGGATTCCACCATGGCGGACCCCTTCCAGCCACGCCCCGCAGAGATGTCAGCTGCTGTCACTGTGCATAGGTCCCTGCTCTGCAGACACTTCCTTCCTACTGATGTCCTTGCTGGGGTTTCAGCACCTGCCGCACACTGATGTGTGCCACACGGAGCACAGACGTTAATGTCGCAGGTATAGATGGACAACCCAGGCTCAGAGAGGCGAGGCCTCTTCCACAAGGCAGCCAGGACACACTCTCTACTTCCAAACCCCCCTCAGAGGCCCAGGCCACGCGGCCCGGCACAGACACTCACCCGCACTGCCCTCCACAAAGGCCCCCAGGACCAGCCTGTACTTCTCCGCCTCGCCCGCCATCTGGAAGGATCTGTACGTGGCAAATTGGTGGTTGTCCTCAAAGTCCACCAGGTCTACGCGGAGCTCACTGGTTCCTGCGGGAGGAAGGTTTCAGGATCCCGGCAGAAGGGCCCTCTGCCTCCAGACGCGGGAGCTGGGGAACTGGGGCAGGGGCTGGAAGGAGGTCTGGGTTCCATGGAGGCAGGGCGTGGAGAGCACTGCGGCTTCCCCGGGGCCCGCGCGGCTCTGACCCGCTGGGGGTGCTGAGCCACAGGGTGAGACTCAACTCCCAAATCCTCGAGGCTTAGAGGCAGAATTGGGGTTGGGCCCTAACTCCACTACGGGGCAACTGGGTCCCTCCTTCCCACACTCAGGACCTAAGGTGCCGGTGGGGCCGAGACCAGAAGAGGCTTCAGCCCAGAGCTCCAACCCTCTCCCGTCCCGACGCCGCCAGAGCCAGCGGCAGGGGACACAGCCCTCGGGGGTCCCAGTGCCACCCTGCGTGTGCTCAGGGCCCAAAGCCCTGTGGGCCAAGAGGCGCTTATGTTCCAGGCGGCCCAGGCCTAAGGGGCAGGGGCACCTCCATTCAGGGCCCCCGACCCCCGACCCCCGGCAGCGGCCCTACCCCGGGCGGTCAGGGCGTGGATGTTGTCATTCCCCAGCCAGAACTCCCCCAGCTGACTGCCAAAGCCCTGCTTGTACGCGGCCCAGTCCCGGTAGAAGTCCACGGAGCCGTCCATCCTCCGCTGGAAAACCTGTGGAGGAGCCGGGGGACGGAGCCAGGGGCCAGGTCGACGTTCCACAGCGTGGGGGGACCCGCCCTCCAGAGGAGCAGCACGTGCAGATGGCAGAGCATCACGGCCGGGCCAGCAGCTCGCAGACCCCACGGGAAGATGAAGGAGGAAAGGGGGGCCCGGGAGGGGAGGCAGCAAGCCCCAGGCCGCACAGCAGGAAAACACCGGCCCCTCCCAGCCGCCCCCACGGCCTGGACTTTTACCCACGGGTCACCCCCCATCATCTCTGCCTGTCCCCGTCCAGGGAGATAGAGAACTCCAGAGTGTTCTCCCAGCAGGTGTGCAGCCTGGCCTCTGGGACTCCCAGGCTGGCCGCCCCTGCCCAGGGCCCCTCAGCTCCCCCCACACTCACGGTCCAGCCCCCTCCGTCCGTGTCCATGTCACACAACACGGTCAGGGGCCGGCAGTCGGGCAGGTAGACGGTGTGCCAGCCGCTCAGGAAGTACCCCCGGTCCCGCAGGTCCTTGCAGGTGCGTGGGCCTGGGAAGGGAACCCGGGGAGTGGCTGCAGGACGGGAGCCCTGGGCAGGGCAGGGGCAGTGGGAGGGAGGCCCGGGAGGGAGAAGCAGGGCCACAGGCATCTGTGCGGACAGAGTGGGACTCCGAGGCCTGGACAGGGACATGGCCCTCAGGGCCATGCAGCTGTGTTGGCCACGCCCAGTCTGCCTGACACTCCCACCCCCCGTGTCACCCCCTCCTTCGGCTCCTGGGCACTCGGCCTTCTGGGGTAAAGCAGAAGGTAGAAGAAAATTGCCATGGAAGGCACTGAAGTTGTCTGGACAATACTTGTCACTTTCTTAAATGATTCAGGGACAAGGGAATGGGCACACCGCCTTTGTCTTTTGTTTGTATTTGCCACTTCCTTCTGGCGATAGCATCGTATGACCCTGGACTTCCAGCCAAAGGCAGCCACAGGCCGTGGGTGGAGCGCGGGGGGAGCGTGGGGTGGTCAGTCACCTGTCAGGCACGGCTGGGGCTCCCCAGGTGCTCCTGTTCGTGGGTGAGAGAGGACACACATGTCACAGTTTGGAAATCAGAGCCCTTGAGCCCCCATTGGTCCGCAGATACCGTGTAAAACGTGGAGACCGTTTTCTGGGCCTCTCCAGGAGGAGATGGTGGGGGTCCAGTCAGGGAGTCCCTGAGCCTGCTTCCATGGGCCACATTTTTCTTTCCCTCAAGGGAGGCCCACACTGGCCCCTCCACGACACGCACCCCTTTCGGAGGTCCCCAGGGAAGCAGAGGCCTCCATCCCAGAGACTGTTGAGGCCCCCATGTGCCACCCAGAGGGAGCCTGGATTTTCAGGTCTCTCCGGGGGCCCCAAGGCCTGCAAACAGCCCATCTTGGTAGACGCAGTAGTATGATGGGACAGCGTTGCTTGGGGTCTGGGCGCCAAACTGCGTATTTTACGTTTAGACACAACCCGTGGCTGAGCCTGGTGTGCAGTGAGTGTAGGGGGTGTCTTATTCTGAGTGGGTCCGTGGGTAAGGGTGAGTGAGTAAAGGGAGCTTCCATTTCCTACTGCATCTTTCTCTGATTCTTCAAGGTATTCCTCATGAAAATATGTCGGAAAATTATTTATTTTAAAGCAGAGCATGTCTACAAACGCTGTGCTGAGAGCTGGTTGGTGTGGTTCTCCAGCCCCCCGGGGCCTGCTCCCCACACGTGGTGCTGACTAGAGATACAGCCTTGGGGCGGCGTCAGGAGGAGGGGACCAGACAGGACCTCGTGCCTGGGGGACAGAGGCCAGGGCTGAGTGGGACTGAGAGAGGGGAGCAGACACACCCACCCCACCCTCCCAAGGCCACTTCCACCTTAGAGGGACAGGGTTTCGCCTCAGACACACCCACAGGGCAGATGCTCCAGTACTGAAAACCTTCCCCTACACAAGAACCTCTTCCCCATACAGAGACCCCCACCGAGAACCCCTCCCACACCAAAACTCCCTGCTCCCACCCCAGAAGCTCTCCCCGGTATTGACAGCTCCGCCTGATATTGACAGCTCTCCCTGATATTAATGGCTGTCCCTGATATTGACTGACAGCTCTCCCTGACATTGACAGCTCTCCCCGATATTGACTGCTGTCCCGGTATTGACAGCTCCCCCGGTATTGATGGCTGTCCCCGGTATTGACGGCTCTCCCCGGCACTGATGGCTCTTCCTCCATACTGTTAACACCTCCCCACAACATGCACATTGGAAACCCCTCCCCCGACACACACACCAAGAACCCCTCCCCTGACATTGAGAAGCCATCTCCAACACTGATAACCCCACTTCCCCCAACTGAGAACCCCCACAACATTGAGAACCCCTCCCCTATACTGAGACCCCTGCCCTGGACGGAGCCCTGGAAGCCCTGCGCATATTCCTCTGCAGCCTTGGCTGAAAGGACCTTGCAGCCCCTCCTCACTCTGGTCCCCTCCTTACCCTTGGGCCCAGGTGGTCCTGCCTTCCCAGGGGGTCCAGGGGGTCCAGGTTCTCCTGCAATTTCCAAAGACAAAGCTCCCTTGAGCAAAACTCCCTAGCCAGGACCAAAGGGTCCACCCTGGAGCTGGCGGCTGTAATTTCCAATCATGACCATGACCCTGCTTGCTACGAAGTGACCGAGGCCCCACCTGGGCTTGCCCGTCCTGCACCAGAAGGTTCTAGACCCAGGACCCAGGCCTCACGGGACTCTGCTGTCCACTCAGCGGCCAGGAGCTGAAAATCCAGACACCACGGGGGGAATCCCAGCCCTTTTCTTTTCAGGTGTGAGCACGGAGGGGAATCCCTGGACTCTTTGAGCCTCAGTTTCCTCATCTGAGGCAGGCGGAGAAGAGTTTGTGGCCTCAGGGCTCAGGTGAGAAGGTGGAGGGACATAGAACTTAGAAGTTGTGCCAGTGACCGAGCAAAGCTGGTGTTGGGTCAAGGACGGGGAGACAGCACTACAGAAGCGTGTCCACATGTGAGCTCATGGATAGTTAAGAAAGACGCTCCCCCATTTCAGAACCCTGCTGGGCCCTGGGAGTCGGCTACGTCCCTGTCTCTAGCAGGGTCCGACCCAGGCTCTCGAGCTAGGTGCCAGAGTGGGGGCGTTGCCCAGCTCAGCATCTAGTTTCAAAAACAGCAAGAGCCAGTGCCCCCGCCATGCCCGGCCTCCCCACCCGGCCCACACATACCTCTCTGTCCATTGGCGCCTGCCTCTCCCTTTGGCCCTGGGGACCCCGGCAGCCCCGGGCAGCCTCGGAGAATGGTGAGCTTGTCAGAGCCCTCCACGCCCACCACCTTCACCTCTGCAGAGAAACACAGATGGCCACTCAGTGTCACCTGGGCCTGAATACTCCACTGAGCCACAGACACACCACTCAACCGAAAGGCACCTGCCACCTTGGTGACATCAGGAGTGGGCAGATGGCTGCAGCCACAGCCACCTCCCTCCGTTGAGTGTTCCTGCTCGGGTGAGCTCTTGGTCCGTCCTTACCTCCTGAGCACTGGTCAGGCAGGAAGGAGATGCGGGGCAGAAACCAGGCCTTGGAGCCCACCCTGCCTGAGGGGAAGCCTTACTTCCTCAGCACTGTGTGCCCTGAAACAAGTCCCTTGACCCCTCTGAGCCTCTGTTCCCTGGCCTACTGAGAGCGCAGGTTCGTTTCGGCTCCTACCATTTAGGATAGCCTCGTCATCTCAGCCGCTCCCATCTGTTGTACCATGGTCATCAATATCAGGTGAGAAGGACACCGGGAGAGAGGCTACCAACGTGACTCCTACGCCCAATCTTGTGAGCAGAGCTGAGAGTGGATGGGCTCCTTTGGGTCAACCGTGTCCCTCCACAGCGGGAGGCGTCCTTCAAGGACACAGAACTAGCTGGTGCAAAACTAGAGCTGGAAGGCAGCTTCGTCGTTTTCAATTAGGTATCTCCAATTCAAGTTAGATGGTGTGTTATAAAAATTACACGTGCTGTTATTTGACCATTTAGAAGCTCCAGAAGTGTTTAAGGAGGAGAATAATGCTGTCCTAACTCCACCACTCCACAGTGAGCCACTAGGAGCTTCCAAGTGACCCTGCTGTCCCTGGCCTGTCACCCTCCAGGATCACTCCTGGAATGCAGTGCTGGTCGCAGCACCCCTGAGCTCCGGAAGCCCCGGCTCTGCTGCGGATAGAGCCGTGTCTCCTCCTGAGCACTGCAGACATCCCAACAGGAGTCTCTGCAGGCATTGAAAACATCACAAACTCCTGATCCTCCGTCAGGTAGACGGAGTCAGGACCTGATTCCAGGGGCCGCATGTTCAACCTGCCCTCCCATACTTTGGAACCCGTGGTTGGGCACCCAAGTATCCTCTTGGGAGCCCCAAAGGAGGTCCAGAACTGGCGGGGACAGTGCCACTCCTATGGTGCCACGTCAGGGACACCATGGGAACCGCCACCTTCAGAGCCCAATAGTTCCTGGATGGAAACGTCCCACAGTGCTGGGTGCCCATTCCTGCTGACGCTCTGTCTCCCGGTGATGGCGGTCATGGTGGAACACCTGACCGCTGCCTGCCCAGCTGGCGCCACAAGCCCCACCTCCCCTCACAACACCACGACCGCGCCTTTTACGCTTAGAGGACATGTGGCCCGGGGAGGCTGGAAACCTGCACGGTTTCGGTGACGGGCGGGCAGGCAGAGGACACCCCATCTCCGAGACACCGCATGCATTCAGGGTCTCTGCGTCTGCTCACACAGACGACATGTGCGGAGCTGCTGTCTCGATAGGTGGCACACCACATGGCCTGGGGCAAGGCCTGGAAGCCAGGAAGCTGCCAGTCATGAAGCTGCCAGCTTTTGGGGATGAGAAGTTTCCAAGAGGAGGTCCTGAAGTGACTCACCTGGACAGGTTTCTGCCGCCTGGACAGCCCAGGACATGCCCAGGAGGGTGAGCAGCAGGGTGGCAGGGCCCGGGACCCCCATAGCTCTGTCCAGCTCCTTCTCTCCTGGTCTTTGCTTCAAGAGGTCCCTGACCTCTTATAGGGCTGGAGAGGCCAGCCTCCCTCAGACTCCAATTTCTCATCTTCCGAGTGACAGCCGCTTCCTCTCCGCCGGCTTGGTGACGCCAGCAGGAGGTACGGGGTCATCTCCAGGGCTGCTCCTTCCACCCTCCCCTTGGGGATCCCATGGCATCTCTCATCCCTGCAGGGGACGGTCTATTCCCAGGGAACAGGCTGACTCGCTTGTGGCCTTGCACAAAGCCCAGGCCCATCCGCCCACCTTTGTTCAGCGGTGAGCAGATGACACCAGGAGCTGAGGACGGGAACAAGGAAGGGTTTGCTAAAGACGTTCTGCTTCAAAGAGTTCTCTCTCCCTTGCCCGAATCCCTGGAGTCCTCACGGCCAGAGCTGGCCATTGGCCACTGGGGTGGACCTTACACAGCAACCCTCACCATGTCGTGAGCGGACTTGGGACGCTCCCCAGGAGCCTTGGAAACTGCCACTGGGCGGTCCAGGCAGGATGTCAGGGCCAGAAGGAGAGGAAAATGCATGTGTGTCCACCGATTCCTGGGGAAGTGTGTAGAGCTAGGTTTCCCACTTCAGTGGCACACAAACGTGAGGGCAGGGAGACAGGGTGAGGAGCCTGGGGGACTAAGATGCCGGTGCACGTCTGAGGGGGAGGCCTTGAGGGGCTGAGCCTTTTGGGAGGGTGACAGTAGGCGCATTTCACTCCTAGGGCCCAGGGGAGCCCCTGAGCCTGAGGCCAGGCATCCCACCTGCAGGCCGCTGTGGTCTTCAGTGACAATCCCTGGAGCAGAACTCTGGCCTTAGAGCCCACCCTGCCTGAGGGGAAGCCTTACTTCCTCAGCACTGTGTGTCCTAAAACAAGTCCCTTGGCCCCTCTGAGCCTGTGTTCCCTTGCCTACTGAGGGCGCAGGTTCATTTCAGCTCCTACCATTTAGGATAGCGTCATCATCTCGGCTGTTCCCATCTGTCGTACCATGGTCATCAATATCAGGTGAGAAGGACTCGGGGAGAGAGGCTACCAACGCGACTCATACGCCTGATCCTGGGAGCAGAGCTCCCAAAGGCGCACTCTCACCCAGGGAGGAGCCGGCCCAGAGGCACACTGTCACCTGGGACTGAGCCAGGTTAGAGACAGAGACAGTAGCAGGTGGGGCCCCAGACCCCGTATACCTAGGACCCCCCAGAGACAAAATCAGCGCCACACCTGCACTACCACTGCCGCACCCCACCTGCTGCCATTGGGATGCTGGGGTGCCTCCTTCCTTAGCAAGATCAGTAGAAGGACTTTTAACTGTGACCCCAGCCCAGGAAAACCACGCAAAGAACTAAATTCCACTGGATATTCCTTCGATGCCCATGGAGATGCGTGGTCCTGAGACTATGACAAGTCAAGACCCCCCTGGGGTCTGTGGTGTTGAGGGCTGTGCTGGATGTGGTCCAGGAATGAGCCTGGGGAAGACACGGGCTCCACGGAGGTGCAGGAATGGAACCTAAGAAGATGGCTTGGGGGCATCTTCCCCCAAGTCCTGAAGTCACCTGCAGAGGTGCCAGGTCCCCAGAGCTGCCCAGTGAAACCCCAGCAGCCAAAATTCCGGGTCCTTGGACAAGTTCCTTAAGTGCATTCTATTTGTCCTTCTTAATAGGAGCATCTTTCAAACCTGGGTGACTTAGAATTAAGTCTAGAAGGCTTTAAAATCTCAAAGACATTATATTAATATTTTCGTGTTCAGAAATCTAAAAAAATATGCTATGTAAAGCACTCGTGATAGTCAAGAGAATTTGGTGTATCGGAGCAGGTGCAGGGTAACTTCAACAGAAAATGGCCAAATGAGTATTGATTTGACAGAGTGCATTTCTGCAGAAGACTTACTGAATCCATACAAACTATTGAATCAGTTTATTGGAACTCCAAGTTTATCACATGGTGAATTTAAATGATTATATTTCTAACAGTTCATATTCAGAAGGATTTTTTAAAGCTACACAAAGTACTAAAGGATGAATGTGGGTATATTAAATGAATAAATGCAGTTACAATGTTTGAAGGTGTTTAGTTAACTAAGTTAGGGAATGGACGAAGAATTATTCACAGGTTCCTTACAGGTGGTTATTAAAAGATAGAACAATAAGATTTATAAGTCACACTTCAAAAATGAAGGCAGAATGCAGCTTTCATTAAGTACGACTTTTAATAAACGGAAATAATTAAATTCATTTTAGAAAACGAAGACCTGAAATCTTTGGTGCACTCAGAATTGCCCACAAATGATAACATACCAAAAACAAAGCCCTCACAAGCACCAGCGTAAATGTCGGTGGGGGATGCTTCCAGGGGGTCATGTCACTTGTTATGGGTGAGGAGGCTGAGGCCCAGAGGAGGGCAGAAGGTTCCAGAAGGCACATGGCCAGCTCATGGCTGAGCCAGCATCCAGCCCCAGCAATTTGGGTCCCACCCTTGGCCTTTTCTATACCCCTGTTGGGGTTCTCTTAGAGGGACAGAAATAATGGGAGATATATATATATAATGAGGAGTTTATTAAAGATTAACTTACAGGATCACAAGGTCCCACAGTAGGCTGTCTGCAAGCTAGAGCAGCAAGGAGAGCCAATGTGAGTCTCAAAACTGAAGAACTCGGAGTCCGATGTTGAAGGGCAGGCGGCATCCAGCACGGGAGAAAGGCGTAGGCTGGGAGGCCAGGCCCGGTCTCGCTTTTTCACGTTTTTCTGCCTGCTTTATATTTGCTGGCAGCTGATTAGATTGTGCGCACCAGATTAAGGGTGGGTCTGCCTTCCCCTGCCCACTGCTTGAAATCTTAAACTCCTTTGGCCACACCCTCTAAGACACACCTAGGATCCATACTTTGCATCCTTCAATCCAATCAAGTTGACACTCAGTATTAACCATCACACCTTCTTCCAGAAGTTTCCCTCCCACACAAGGTCCCTCTGTGCCTGAGCCCAGGTCTCCACCCTCGGGGTGCCAGCTGTTCTAGGACAGGTGGCGCTGTGCACAGGGGACAGACAGGCGTGGGTCCCATCGGTGAGGTCTCGAACGTGACCGCCGTCTCACAAAGGCCAGGAGGAGGGACATGGACGATGCTGCCATGAGACTCTTGTAGTGGAGGGCAGTGGCTTCATGTTGCCGGAAGGTAAATGGTGATCATGGAAAGTCAGTTACGACAAATTCTAACACGACCACTAAAATAACAACTTTCAAGATTCAAGCCATACAAAGTATGTTCTCGGACAACAATGGAATTAATTAGAAATCAAGAAAAGAAAGATGTCTAGAAAATCCCCCCAAATATTTACATACTAAATAACATTCTTCTAAATAAGGTATAGGACACAAAAGCGGTCAAAGGAGAAATTAGAATTTTGAATTGAATTAAAACAAAAATGCAGTAAAATACAGTTTGCATGGTGTTCCTAAAGCACTCCTTGGGAGGAAATTACAGGGCTAAATGCTCACTGAAAAGGAGGAAAGGTCTCAGGTCAACAGCCTCTGCTTCCGTCTTAAGAAACTAGAAAAAGAAGAGTAACTTAAATCCAAAGTAGAAAGAAGAGAACAAATAATTATGAAAAAGACCAGAAAATCAATACAACCTGAAACTGATTCTTTGAGAAGGTAAATACAATTTATAAATCTTTACTCAGATTGAAGAAAAGAGATAAAAGAGAGAGAATGCAAACTGTCGTTATTAGATCGATGACCTCACCGCTAATTCTACACATTTTAGGAGGAATGTAAAGGGATATTGAAGCAATTTCGTGCCAATACATTCAACAGCAGAAATGAAATGGACAATTTCCTTGAACCACCAAAGTCACTCAAGAAATACAGAAGCTGAACAACTGGCGTGGTGGCTTATGCCTGTAATCCAGCACTTTGAGAGGCCGAGGTGGGTGGATCACCTGAAGTCAAGAGTTTGAGACCAGCCTGGGCAACATGGTGAAACCCCATGTCTACTACAAATACAAAACTTAGCCGGTGTGGTGATGGGCACCTGTAATCCCAGCCACCTGGGAGACTGAGGCAGGAGAATCACTTGAACCTGGGAAGGCAGAGGTTGCAGTGAGCTGACGTCGCACCATGGCACTCCAGCCCAGGTAACAAAAGCAAAATTCCATCTCAAAAACAAAACAAAACAAAACAAAACTCTATACAGATAAAATTAATTGAAATTGTAGTTAAGTCTTTATTTTTATTATAAAGAAAGTTTATCAGGATAATGTGGTACTGATGCAAAGGTAGACTTATAGACCAATGGAACAGATAAGGCAGTCCGCAAAGAAATAGGTCTACAGAATAAAGAGCCCACCAAAAAAGTCTCCATGCCCAGACAGTGTCACTAATGAAACCTACCAAATATTTAAGGAAGAAATAATGGCAATTCTTCCCACATTCTTTCTGAAAATCAGAAAGTTACAAGTACTTCAGCACTCGTTCTATGAGCCCAGCAGTCCCCAAATAACAAAAGTAGGGAAAAATCATTGCAGGAAAAAAATAACTACAGACTGTCAGCCCTCATCAACATAGATGCAACAATTTTAAGCCAAATTTTAGCAACCTGAACCCAACAGTCTATGAAAATGTATCACAAGCAAGTGAGGTCTAGCCCAGGAATAGAATGTTTGTTTACCACTTGAAAATCAACGTAATTCTCCTTCTGACCAAGTTAAAAACGATATATGATCACCTCAAAAGAAACAAAAAGATCTGAACGTCTTCATCCATTCCAGATAAAAAAGGCTCTTGAAAATGAAGAATAGAATCTATTCATTTTCTATCACCGTGTAACAAATTGCTACATGTTAGCAGCTTAAAAGAACATGTTTATTACCTCATAGTTTTTGTGGGTCAGGAGTCCATGCACAGTTTAATGGGGCCCTCTACTGAAAGTCTCAAAAGCAACAATCGAGGTATCAGACAGGGCTACGGTCTCATCTGTGGGGAATGGTGTGTTTTTAAGCTCACTCAATTTCGGAGCAGACTGCAAATCCTTGTAATTGT